GGAAATGAAAAATAATGATGAAAATCAGCAGAGAGAGGTATTACACTAAGGGAAAAACTAATCAAAGGAGAAATCCAAGTTAAATATCAAAAATAAACAAAAATGGCTGGGAATATAAATCCTATCTCAATAATAATCCTGAAAGTTAATGGCCTAAGATCACCAATCAAAAGACATAGACTAGCAGATTGGATTAAAAAAATAAAAGACCAACAATTTGCTACCTGCAAGAGACTCTTCTCATAGGGAAAGACATCCACAGACTGAAGGTGAAATGTTGGAAAAAATCACACCACTCACATGGACTGAGGAAGGCAAGCCAGGGTTTCCATACTCAAATCAAGTAGACTTCAAGATAAAGTTAATCAAAAGGGATAAAGGAGGATCCTACATGCTGCTCAAGGGAACTATACACCAATTATAAATATATATGCCCCAAACAATGAAACATCTGCTTTCATCAAACAAACTCTTCTCAAATTCAAGAGTCAAATAGACCACAACACAATAATTCTGGGTGACTTTAACACACCTGTTTCACCACTGGACAGATCTTCCAAACAAAAGCTGAACAAAGAAACTATAGAACTCAATAATACAATCAATAACTTAGACTTAACTGACATATATAGAATATTTCATCCTTCAACAAGTGAATACACATTCTTCTCAGCAGCACCTGGATCCTTCTCTAAAGTAGAACATATATCATGCCTCTAAGCAACTCTTAGCAAATACAAAAATAGAGATACTACCCTGCATTTTGTCAGATCATAATGGAATGAAATTAGAAAGCAATGACAAAATAAAAAACAAAAGCTACTCCAATACATGGAGACTAAATAATATGCTAATGAATGAACAATGGGTTGCAAAAGACATCGAGGAGGAGATTAAAAAATTCCTAGAGGTAAATGAGAACACATATTGAAATCTCTGGGACACTATGAAGGCAGTACTAAGAGGAAAGTTCATTGCATGGAGTTCATTCCTTCAAAGAAGAAAAAGTCAACAAATAAATGACCTAACATTACATCTCAAAGCCCTAGAAAAAGAAGAACAGAACAAACCAACACCAAAATTAGTAGAAGATAGGAAATAATTAAAATCAGAACTGAAATCAATGAAACTGAAACAAAAGAAAAAATTGAAAAAGTTGGTTCTTTGAAAAAATAAATAAAATTGATAAACCCTTAGCCATGCTAATGAAGAGAAGGAGAATAAAAAACTCAAATCACTAACATATGTAATGAAAAAGGAAATATCACAACAGACACTACAGAAATACACAAGATAATTAGAAATTATTTTGAAAACTTGAACTCCTATAAAATAGAAAATATCAAAGGCATCAACAAATTCCCAGAGGCATAGGAGTTACCCAAATTGAATCAGGATGATATACACAATTTAAACAGATCAGTTTCAAGCAAGGAAATAAAAGATGCCATCAGAAGCCTACCAAACAAGAAAAGCCCAGGACAAGATGGATACACATCTGATTTCTACAAGACCTATAAAGGAGAAGTAATACCTATACTCTACAAATTATTTCATAAAATAGAAAAAGAGAGCACACTTCCAAACTCATTCTATGAGGCCAGTATCACCCTGATTCCAGAACCAAGCAAAGACACAGCAAAGAAAGAGAACTTCAGACCTTTATCTCTAATGAACATAGGTGCAAAAATTCTGAATAAGATTCTGGCAAATTGAATACATAAACATATCAAAAAGAGTGCACAACAATCCAGTGGGGTTCATTCCAGGCATGCAAGGTTGGTTCAACATTCGAACCTAGAAGACCCAAAAAATTCCACCAGAAAACTTGTAGAAATAATAAATGAATTCAGCAAAGTAGCAGGATATAAAATCAACACCCATAAATCAAAGGCATTTCTGTATGTCAGTGACAAATCCTCTGAAATAGAAACAAGGAAAACTACCCATTTAAAATAGCCTCAATCCTAGGATT